TTTGGATTTTGTTTAAAGGCCCAAAAAACATGTCAGTTCTAAAAAAATGAGAATGTTCTGACTGTTTTTAAAGGGTTAGGCTTCAAAGGGTTAACATGTGGTCACAAAAACACTGGATCCACGACAGATGTGTTTGCAAAACTAGAAATGTCGGATGTCTGTTCGTGAGAGCTGAATGAGAAGTTTCAGCTGACAGAGATGAAGAGAAATAAATCTGTATTCTGAGCAGAACACAGAGAATCATAAAAAATAAATGTGACTCCAGGCCAGCAGAAAGACTAACAGGTTCAGAGGCGCATCTCCAAATGTGCTAACATCTGTCTGTTAAAGCAACGAGGACATGGTTACATCCTGACGGCACAGGGAAGCATCCCACCTGGACATGTCAAAGCATCTGTTTTCAAAAGAAACTGGATCTTTTTCAGCTCATGTTGAAGTTGAATCAACTCCTCATGTTTGGATTTGGAACTTACACTCTTTAGACATTCCAACTGCAAAGCACTTGTGCAGGCGGCAGTACTGACAGCGGTTCCTGGTCACCTTGTTGATGATGCAGTTCTTGTCCCGGTGACACGTGTACACCATGTTCTTCTGGATGCTGCGGCGGAAGAAACCCTGCGGACACAGAGGGGTTAGGTGGATCAGCTACTTCTCCAGTTTAACATGTTAAATTATTTTTGTCTTTGATCATTTGAGCTTTGAGCGATGATTTACTCACTTTAACTTCTGCTTGTTTTAACTTTAACAGTTTCAGCATTCATACTGCATTGTCACAAAAAAAGATTCTGCTTTGCTCCTAATCTTACAAAGTTATCTATTATCTAAAACATCCACAGATTTTTAATAGAAATGTTCAGTAAATAGATAAAAGGACGCTGCAGAATGTCTTTTCACTTCTAACGTGGCTGAGAGGAAAGAGTGGTGTGTCCCTGCAGGGAGCTCTGAGCTACTTCAAATACTGGATTTCAGTTCATTCAGAGAGTTCTGGTGAGAACACAGAGAACCCTGAGAGGATGAAGATTAACCACAGACTGGTTCTGCCATTCTGGGACTCAGAGTCGGAACGTGACAAGGTGACATTGAGTTCTGTGCAGAACAAAGACTGATGTTTTCACTGGAACCAGTGAAGCAATGAACTTTAAATCAAAGCATTATTTGTGTTGCGGTTCTAACAGGTCCCATCACAGAAGATTAGAGAAACGTGAGGCTCTGGGATTCACAAACTAAAGTCTAGAGTCTCAGAGGTCAGTCCTGGTAAGACTTCTTGTAAGAAAATTTAGTTTTCATTAACTGAAATCGAGACGAAACCACATAAACGTTCAATAGATTTAAATGTGAAGAGAATGAGGACCATACAACMCCAATGACTGGAATGAACGGAGGTTTAATGCTGATCCGTCAGTCATGAAACCCACGCTGAATGAAAACCGGAAGTTCTGGCATATATACACGTTCTTCAGTGCCTGGTGCGCCCACTACTGGCCTACGGCTGAATCGCAGACACTCAGACAAAAAACCTGGACTTAGGTTTGATTAAAGGCACAGTGTGTAGGATTTTGTCAATTCTTTTAGCCGAAATTGAGATAATCACTAATGACAATAATAAAAAACATGTCTAATCATTGCAGACAAATACCTTGTTTTATTATTTTTACCTTATAAAAAGCTGTTTATATCTCCATGGTCGCGGGTCGCCACTACAGGCAGCCGCCATCTTGTCTACGAAGGCTCATGAAGGACAAACTGCGGTGGCGGTGTCAAAAACAGTTTTAGTTGTAATACTATAAATGTAATATTTGTTGTCTGTCAGCTACATTTACATGGACAAAAGTAATCAGATTAAACGGTCGTTCGAAATAAAAATGCGTCATGTAAACAGCCCGTTTCGATTATTCTGATCCGATTGAACTCGATCCAAATGAATTTTTAATCCGAATGGAAAGGGTGGGTTATGTCGATTGATAATCGGAATGAGGTTCATGTAAACACTTAATCAGATCATCTTATTCTGATCGTAGAAAACTGACCTGTGTTCACATGTCTGCTGACTTTCATTCACCTGGTGGGACAGCAGCGCTCCAGCTGCGCTGCACCGCGCAGAATCTCCTCGCTCTCTTAACAGATGAAAAAGGAGGCAAACGGCAGACGTTGCTTCGCAAAAAATAAAAATAAAAAGCACGTATTGCTTCATCTGCAGCTCAACTTAGGAGTAATGGCGTCTCTACCCTTATTAAAAGCTGACACGTGTCAGTCCTGAGGCACAGAGGAGCTTTGTTTACGTTTGTAACACAGAAGTAGAGCTGAACGTTTACAACACTGCGCATGTCCAGACTTTTATTCTGAATAAAAGTCCGGTGCATGTAAACACTTTTCATGATCGCATTGTGTCCATGTAAACAGTACATTTGGATTATTTAATCTGAATACATTTCAATCTGATTGAAAAATTTTGTGCATGTAAACATAGCTGGGATAATTTTACTTATTAAAGCTCATAATCTTACCACTTGAAACATCACTAGCCCTGAAGCTGCTGGTAGACATCGCGGTTGGAATTATCAAAGGTTTTTGACACTTGAGAGACACCGTAGCAACTCCTTTGTGTTTGGAAGAGGGGGTGGGGGTGGGGGGAGGACCAGGGAGGATGATTCAACCACTAGATGTCGCTGAAAACAACAAATCCAACACACTGTGCCTTTAACATTTTTTATGTGTTGCGATGGTGTTTCAGGCATGTATCTAAACTATTTCAATCAAGACATAAAAATAGTCAAACAATGGATTATAAAAGTCAATACTTAAAAAGGAAAACTAAGAAAATGGTGTAGTGCTTTTAAAATCAGTATCTAACGTGACAAATTTCTTCAAATCCCCCCTGTTCACATGACAATTAATCATGTGAACAACAGGAACTAGAAGAACTGGGTTTTCTGTCAAAATGCAGTGTGAATGCTGACAGCTGCGCAGCTGACGGAATTTGCTGAAGAAGCTGAAATTTAGCTGTTAAAGCACAAAAGGCAGAGTGTTTGCTTCACATAGAAACTCATAGCTAAAATGCTAAAAATGACAAACTGAAATCGTAAAAACAGCTAACTAAAGACTAAAATTAGCAAGATGCTGCTAAAAGTTAACAATAACAGAATGTTGTTGCTGCTCCCCTCTGCTGGGGTCACTACAGAAAACAATCCTCCTCTAATGTTAGAATTTGCTTTCTAACAGATCTCCTTCCTGACACCATCTGGACTCAAACCTGCGGCCTCAGGACTACAGGACTGGAGTGTTGACCACTGAACTACTATGTAAGATTAACAAAGTCTTAAACGTATTAAAATGTTAGCTAAAAGTAGCATAAGAGAAAGTAACAATAAAATGAAGTACATTTTAACAGAACACTGTTTTTGAAGGAATTAGAGATCATGTGTGTGTCTAAGGGGAAATGTTGTAAATAAAGTAAAGTATTTTTTAAAAAATGATGAAAGTTATATGCTTGAATGTCCTGAACAAACTTAAAGTCAGTGAGAAGACTCATTCTCATGTCTCCGGTCCATGCTGGTGTTGCACGGAATTCAGTTCCCCTGTGAAAATCTGTTCCCCCTGTGTTTGGAGGGGTGGACCAGTGATTCTCTCTAAGGTTAACCAGTTGGGGTAACAGATTTTCACAGGGGTACTGGATTTCGTACAGTTTTCTTCTCCTTCCACCTGCTGAGACGCAGCCTTTAATCACCCCGAGTCAGAACTAGCTCTCATAGAAGTATGGGTCAGGCGTTGTGGGATTGCTCAGAACTTTGTGTGAGGGTTTATTTTTGTAAAGATGYTGCATTTTGCTAAAACTCTGAGGAAATACAGCCCACTTTACAACGTTTCCAGTAAAATGATAAAGAAAGTCAAATAAAACATAGAAATATACCAAAAGAACTCATCTTGGATAAGTTTGTGCACGTAGAACACGAACAACCAGCTCTCTGTGGCTGCTGACCTGGAGGGAATGCCCCTCCCCCCGGGCAGCTTAGAGACACCTTCAGCTACTGTTCCTGACAAATTTAAAAAGCAACACTTCTTCTCTGTTAACAACAAAAATACCAGCACATTTCCTTCAACTCTTCCATCATCTGAAACTAAACCTCCTCTCTGAAAACCTGTGATGATTCAGCGTGTGATGTAAGCCGCAGTGAGACGGCTCGTCAAGATTTATCCCCCCAGGTTTCAGTTTGAGTATGAACAATACTCAACCTGAAAGCACAATGTTGACTACGCTCTGTTCTCATCCCATCTCCAAAACACTCTCTCACACTCTCCACAAGCGCATCAACAAACTTTTTTTGTTTGGTTGCTTTGGAAATGTGCTTCATATCAGGAAATTGGATAAATTGGCATCGTGTTGCATTCAAGCACTTCCTGGTCACAAAATGTTCACTGAATGTGCAGCAAATGCATAAAAGTTCTCACAAAATTATGGCACAAAAGATTGATCATAAATATGGTTTTATTGGGAAATAAATAAAAACAAAAACGTTATAAAACACTACTTTTATAGAGTTTGAAGTCTGTGCTGTCCAACCCAGTTGAAATGAGCACTCAGCTTGCTGCCAATTTTGTCACAGTAGCCTTTAAATGTGTCATGTCCATGCCCGCTCTGGAGAGGGCATAGACCTTAGAGGATTAAATTGTATTTTGAACTGTTTTGATTTTATGTTGCTTTTTTTGAAAGAGAGATTAGAAGATCTGTGAAAAATATATCAAGATTTTATGTGGCTAAAGGCTGATCTAGGGACTGGCATTGCAAATTAGCTTAGGCTATAAATGTTTTTGTGTACAGTATTTAATACTTGTCATTAAATAAATAGGCAATACATAAAATGAACTGAATTGTAGTAAAGTGGAGCCTTAACATTTTGACATTTGAATGGAGGCACAGGTGATTTGTTAGACTGAGCACAAGTAGTTACATGTCAAAGGTACAGAAAAGACAGTTATTAAATAAAAACTGTCATAAGAGCAGGATGGATGGATAGATGGATGGATGGATGGATGATAGATAAATGATGGATGGGTGAATGGATGGATGGATGATAGATAAATGGATGGATGGATAGATGGATGGATGAATAGATGGCTAGATGGTTGGATGGATGGATGGATGGATGAATGGACTGATTGATGATGGATGGGTGAATGGATGATAGATGGATGAATGAATGTTGGATGGATGGATGGATGATAGATGGGTGGATGGAAGGATGGATGGATGGATAATGGATGGATGGATGAATAGACAGATATATGGATGGATGGATGGGTGGATGGATGGATGATGATAGATGGGTGGATGGAAGCATGGATGGGTGGATGGATGGATAGATGGATGATAAATGGGTGGATGGAAGGATGGATGAATGGATGGATAATGGATGGATGGATGAATAGACGGACATATGGATGGATGGATGGTTGGTTAGATGGATGCATGCATGGATGATAGATGGGTGGATGGAAGGATGGATGGATGATAGATGGGTGGATGGAAGGATGGATGAATGGATGGATAATGGATGGATGGATGAATAGACAGATATATGGATGGATGGATGGATGGATGGTTGGTTAGATGGATGCAT